TAATACTCTAATCTTATCAAAGCACTCAAGAACTCTACAAAAAACTTGTGCTATGTATAAACTCTTTAGACAATCTACAGACTCTTCATGACAGTCTTCCTTCATACCTACTTCCAACGTATGACCGACGCAGAGCTTCAAATAACCCAATTATTCTGGAAGTCAAAACATGCAAAATGAAACACAACAATAATACTTAATCCTATATGGCCCCAAACATGTGGGAGTAAATAAAACACTTTTGTTTAAACACCATATTGATTACTCATTATTCATCGTTTATTGTTTCAGAAAATTAACCTATTACTCAAATTACAACAATAGTTGTCCCATGCACAAAGCATGCAGACTATGTTTCTTATGATCCTTACTTTGTGAAATAGATCAATTGTAAAACTTTTGCAATGATGTTCATTTCACAATTCTCAATCCTTATCATTAGTGTTAGAACACAAGGTTCTTGCGACTACTAGAATATGCTAGATTCTAACATTTTATGCAACGATCCTTTTGCAAAATCATAGCACAAAAGTCACCAAGATTTGGCCAATGAAATTACAAAGTACTCTATCAGAAATTGTTATAAGACAATTCCATATACGTGAAGTCTCACATTCAAAGTACATTCCTTTAAACATCCTTCTTGCATAAAAAATTTCTAATCTAGACATAGACTCTCAATATCCAACTCCCAATATGGAAACATTTCCATATTTGCCATATGACAAATCATTCTTAATAGAATCTTATCTATTCATAATAATGTCGATATGGTCCATCCAATACCATACTTCCAACTACTTACAAGCGACCAATCGTCAGCGAACTTTGGATCGTCCTTTGATAGTTGTTTAATTATTTTAGTCAAAACGGATTCTAGTCCTTTTTCCCTCTTAATGCGCCAGACATTTGGAAAAATTTAGAATGTTCAAATATTATAGCATTTGCAATCGATCCTATACCCGAAGCCTATGGGACACGATGCATAAAGTCTTACATAAAGATATGATACTTTATCAATCTTCTGCCATAATATTTTATGTGTCACGTTCTCACAATTCGGATTATGAAGAGGGATGCCGTAATCATAATCAAAATTTAAGAACACACTATGTATTCTTTGACCAAATTTATTAAAATTTCTCAATCTAAGCTTTAGATTTTGAAACGAAGTATAATATTCTCTCCCTTAATTATAGGAAAACAAATTTTCAACCCATGCAACTTTGCAAATTAAATCATTGTTTTTCTATAATTAATATTGCTAACTTACAATACTTGCCATAATAATCATACTATCATAACACTTATTCTCCCACTATCATGATGATTATTATCATATACGCATAACACTTATGCTCCCACTAGCTTTGACATGTATTCAAAAAACAGATGAACTTCCAGAAAACAATGCCTATTGAATTTATGAAATTCATATTTTTAATACCAGATGCTCCGATAAGTCTTTATCTACTCTTCTTAAACTTATACACCTTTGCCTTAAATAGATCATATGTGTGTCTAAACAATTCATAACTTATATCAATAAGTCCCAAATGTTAGACTAATTGCCAAATCTAACAATTCGAACTATAGAGAGGGATGTCGTAACCATAATCAGATTTGAGAATACAATTTTCACAATTGATTTCTTCTTAAAATCTCTCTTAGTGAAAGCATTTCCTCACAATCATTTTCATGAAGGAGGGAATCTTATGACACTTAGATTTTATAGTGTATGAGTTCTTATCCATGTGAATTTGCCAAAACCAAAGTTTGCGGCAAATCTAATCTCATATGGATTGAACTTTCTTAATCTTGATTTCTTGCCTTATGGTAACACGAGTGCCCACCATGTCTTCCAAGTAGTTTAGCAACTTATCCTTACATATCAATGTACTTTCCATCGATCAAGGTGATTTGTATTTATACATTCAAATGAGAACTCATAGAACTCACATACATAATTAACTCAATTGGAATGGCACAAAAACATAATAATGTCAACATGATAGGTTGTAAACCTCAAGTCGTGTGCTAGTGATGATTGATAAGGTTTATTCTTGATTTTGTTCTTGAAACTTTTCAGGACATTTAAGACTCCCACTGACTCCTTGACATATAAGGTTCTCTTGTTAAGAAACTTTTCTTGACAAACAAATATTCAAGAGTTAGTGTAGCTTTTATCAATACAAAACACTTCACAAAATTGGTCCCTTGTTGGTCTTTGTCTTATCCAAGACATCACAACTTACCAATTTCAAATATGCAAGAATGAGAAAACTTTTCCAAATTCGACATTTGATGAGTGTTATAAACCTACTTAAGACTTTTCACTCAAGTCACAATCTTTACTCTAAGACTTGATATTGGAACGAAGTATGATTGACTTCTTGATTTAACCATTTCTACAATTCTCGATTCCTCTTCTTAGGCATGAAATTGCACTAAGACTCGCTTAGAGGATCAATTGAGACATGGTTCTTAATCATTAATACTTATCATAAAACACAATAAAAGTTACTCTCCCTCCTTCTTAGAACAGAGAAAATTTTATCTTTCTGCCTTCTTGATTCTTCTTATTCGTTCTGTCATTCATTGAAACCTTTTCAATTAACTCAGAGTTACACTTAATCTTATAAGTATAATCATATTTACTAAACTTTAGTAAATCATGACAAATATCTTTATCACTCTTGTGGTGGA